TTTTTTCTAATCTCTGTTAATATAATTAGACTAAATCTGTTTATTGAGCTTCCGTAAAAGTCATATTTAACATTGCAGTTTGACGTGATAAATATTTAATTTAATCAATAACAATACGAAAGACACGTTGTAGTTTCGTATGCATGTAGACTATTAATTTACGCGCATCGGCTGCGAGAAATATGATAATAATATTATAATTATAGCATATCGGAAATCTGATCATGCTTTATTCTGAATACACGAACTGTCTATCTAACAGCTAGTACTGTCACAGAAACAATATCATACTCTGATTTTGCTCTAATTTGATGAGTACCTATATACATACATACGCAGTTTCTTTGATGAGAAAAAAAATAATGCTGTAATCTTAGATTAATCCTCATCCTCTTCTTTTTCTGTAATCTTATATTAGATTAACGTGACAACAGATTACGTTTAACAAGTAATGATATACATATATTATCCACGCCATGGCCGTCAATTGCAGATGTGTATATATATATATAACATTGACTGGTAAAATAGGAAATACATGATACATCCAGTAAACTAAATATGATTTTGCTAGCACAAGATTATCGCGTTATTCACTAAATGAAGATCCCTTGCACGCGCGGATATCTCTGTGCAATCGAATAGTCGTGCTATCACATCAATTCGCTGCAATTCGCGTATAAATGACTTTCGTCATTAGTAAGAGAAATTAGTTGAAATTTTGGTCGCACGGACTAGTGTGCATCTTGCTGTTGATTGCAATTAATTTCTATGTAACATTATCAATAACATTCTTATAATCAAAGAATAATTCAGTTTTAACATTTAATAATAATAATTATTATTTTCGTGCGAAATAAGGTAAGATTATGAGTATTTAAAATGTAAATGCCATAAGACTCGGTTATTTGCAAAATTTACAAATCTTTAAATAAGAACTCTCCAACACATTAATTAGTTATAATTCTCTTGAGGGAAATTCCATTTAAATCAGACCAAGCCTCTAGATATTGCTAATACAAATTCAAATTAATATAATATTAATATTAATTAATAATATTCACTCTCAAGTTTAAGGCCTGGATAAAGATATCCTAATTAAGTTGTATGTTTTATTCTTAAATCTAAAAACTATTCCAAGTTCAAATCTACAAATTCAATTTGGGTCAATATAATTCACTGTTCTTATTTCGTCACGACAGTTAGAGTCAATTTTCATTAACAAAAAAAGGATGAATTTTTTGTATCAATGTTATTTGGGGGACAAAACGAGGTTAAATTTATTATTTTTTGAAATATTTAACGAAGTTAAAAATGTTACTTCGTTACGTCATACATCTTAAATCAATCCGCGCGCTAGAATAGTTATTGATGAGAGAATTCAGCACGTTGATTTATAAATATAAGCAGTAATTTTAGAATCGTTTCTCCTATTATTTAAAACGTAAATAATACAAAAACTTATAAACCTACTTGTTAGAAATATATTTTTTAAATTCTATTCTGTAACAAGCAGAATACTGCAGGAAATTAAAATTTATTAATTTATGGTCGGATTAACATTTAGTTATTTATTTTTGTTTAACTTATTCGCGCATGTAATATAATTACGCATGCATATAATTATATTACATTATAATTATCGAAGAAATGCGTAACTCGTTGCATTTCACGTTGACGCTGTTGCACGTTTAATCGCACGAAATGTCCATCGTGGAAATCTCTTGCCCGAGACAATAAATAATAAACATTTCCACCTCTCGCTTTTTATTTTCCTCGTTAGTGCGTAATAAATATATAAAAAAAAACGAAGGAGTAATTATTAAATTGGAACAATTGTTGCGCTCGATCGTCGCGCCGAGAAGCATTTTTAAACCTCGACGGGGGGACCGACTTATTTAAGCTTTCCTGGAATAATTGTCCTCGTGGGAGTGATTAATTCAATGACGAAATCGAAAGGTATGGAGTTGAGTTCTCCACCTTGCCGCCTCCAATCGTAACGAGAGAGAGAAAAGGAGGACAGCTCGAGAGGAGACGGTCGACAACCTCGTTTTTCCCTCCCTCGTTATTCCTCCACCGCCCTCATCGTCGCATCTTTTTCCCTCGTCGCATCCGAATGGAAATCGCGTTACGAGCGATCGCAGTGCAAACTGTAAATTATCCTCGACACCGCTAAATCTTATTGCCACGCTAGACGCCTACCTCTAATTGTCAAGTTGACAGCGAGAGAATACATATGTATTATCATAAAAACGCAAAAATTCTTAAAATTATTTTTGCAATTTTACTTATCGTGAATCTCTCATTTTCAAAAAAATACATTTAATTAAATTGATAAAATTAATAAGATCAAATAATAAATTTAAAGTAAAATTAAAAAAAAATGCATCCTCTATAAAAGAAACGGATATAAAGAAACTTTTTTAAGTAAAAGGAAAATCTTGAGATATACACAAGTAAAATTGACGTTAAGAGTTATTAGTCTATAACCTTAATTGTGAATTTTGAAGGACAGAGGAAGTTTGTGGAAATAACAGTATCAAACTTATTTTTTATTTAATTGAATACAACTGAAGTCTGATATAAAATTAGAAAAACGAATTACTACGTTCTCAAATACTTTAAAGATTATTTTAAGAAGCCTTCTTTAAAAAGTAGATTCAACTTCTCAGGTCATTACCGTCAGATAAAAACGCGCATTTACGTGTAAATAATAATGCTACACTCACAAAGACTTCGTCGTCACTTTCTTCCGTCTATCTCTTAATCGCAAACGGAATGCCGCGCTGCCGTGTCGCAAGAAATGTGCTCTCGAAGCTCTCACAAACGTCTCGACGTGCAAAATGCAAAATGGCGTGTGTTGCATTAAAAAGCAGTCCGCCTCCGGGCGAGATTGAGAGGGCGCACGAACGCCCTCTTATATATTTTATTTCGTTCGACATAGTGGGAGTGCGCGCACGCGGCTTTTTAAAACAAAGACACCGTCCATTGTGATTTATGCCGCGGCTTCCGCGCTCCTTTCTGATACCGAGGAGTTACGTGAATAATCTATCATGTAATCGCCCGGGCGAAAGTAAAACAAATGGCACTGCTTTCGGAAAGCTTTTAGCTTCGGAAAACCTACTGGAGGCTTTTACTTCTGTTTCAAGAACGGCGCGACGAGCGATACCTTTTATTTATCAACGTCCGATACGAGAGACTACCGCTCGCGGTATATCCATTATGATTCATAATAATTTCCATAAAGAAAAAAGTACGGCACTCTGTGAATTCGATAGAAAAAATTCAACAAGTTTGAAAATAGAGGATTCTCGAAGAGGAAATTATATAAAAGATATTATAGGATTATCAAGGTCCAGAGGCACATATGAACAGAGCCCTAAACATTACGGAGAGATGACATCTTGATAAATGTCCTCATATATCAATAGGCTCAACAGAGAGATTTACTCTATAAATATTATATATACGAAGTACACACCGTAAAATGCCCCGCAGGAAAACGGCGAATTCAAAATTAATTTCTACGAATTAATGTTCATCTATAAAAATTGCCAGAGCGAGACACTTCCAGGAGTTCTCCGTGTGTGGTACTTTCACACGGGATTCAAAATTCAGACATTAATGTCATCATCGTTTCCATAAGAAATTCCTCGGGATTTCGGAATCCGCATGCAAATTTTATGGAAATGCGGTACGGCGCCGCCACGTACGCGAAATTTCAAATGTGACGCTGCGCTGTCGCTCTCGCGGGCCGTCTTTTATTTTACATGGACTAATATGAGATTTTACGAATCATGTGCGACCCATTAAGGCCCCATGATTATTACAAGGTGGGATGTATGAATAATATATCGCACGGAGACTAAGCATCGAGCGCGCGCGCGCGACCTAAAAAACTAAGGGCTCTCTCTCTCTCTCTCTCTCTCTCTCTCTGTCTCTCTCTCTCCAGGAAAAATCTTTTTCCTGTAAACCGTAACGACATATTATGCCGAACTATATCTCATTTCTCTATATAAGTAAGAATCGACACCATGTTTGTACGAAGCATGAATAATGGATTATATAAATAAAAATGGAAGGGGACAATGCCGATACGCAGAGCGAACGCTATCGCGCGGTTTTTATTTTGCCGAACGACTGGATTGCATCCGATCGCGACTTTTATATTTGCGCAGGATTTTCGAGTTATCGATTCACGTTGGGCGTGAATTATTGCTAATATAATCCGCGTGAGTAATATATCGCGTGATATAAAAAAATAAAAGTAAGACACGCGAAAGTATATAAGACATCGATCGTGTTAACGCTTTCGTTCCGTGATTATCTTCAATTGTCGAGTAAATAATACGCAGCGTCAGAAAATATTATATAATTTACATATATTTGCAATCACGCGTTCAAGCTTTTGTACTGTATAATTTAATGTTATATTAATATATTGTAAAGTGTTATATTGTGTATAATACCAATTGATTTTGAAAAAGAATATCTTTACAAAAATAAATCTAATTTTTTGATCAAGATAATTGTAATAAATTGCATTAATGTTTACAAAAAAGAACGCATAATTTTAGAGATTCGTTTGAATGAGATATGTTTGTTATGTAAACAAGTGATTACAGTTTATAAGCACGTGTGTTGCAAATTGTAAAATATATTTTTCAAATATTCGATAAAAGCGCGATGCAAAATATCAGATAATTAGAACGTAAAACTGATAATCCGATTTTATTCGAATTAAAATTCAGTATATAAAAGTTAAATTATACCTCTGACGTATTACGTTAAACAAAGATATCAATTACCCTGATTATCACCTTTTCGACTGTCGTTAATTCGAATTCCAAATATCATTATTGAATATCGCGGCAAATATACATGGTTAGAAAACGTTGCAGCGTATAATAAATTTATATTATATCGACGAATTTATATATAGCCAGAATAACTAATCGAACAATAGAAATTGCTAAGGAAAGATGACCAGATTGACTCACCTAATTCCGGACCGCAGACTCTCGGTATAATCTCCAAAATCGCGCTGCATGACGGATCCTCGTAGCACAATTGGCGGGCGTAGAGGCAATTCAGAATGGCCATCGGCACTTTGATGCCGGATCCTGAAACAGAGGATCGACGTCGTACATATTAAAACGCCAGTCCGCACATAAAGAATGCACCCGTAACATTTTTCTCGCGCCGCGCTGCGGCGGGCAAGATTAAAACCCGGCGTTACGGTGGGAAAAGAAGGAAATAAAAGGGGGAATTCCATTGAGATCAGTTCGCCGGCGCCGAAAAATTCGGGAAATTCGTCGTTATTACGGCAAATTACCGCGTGGCAAAATGCCCCATCGCAAGACGAGGGGGGGAGGGAGGAGGGGACGGGCGGAGGAAAAGCGAGAGTGCGCAATGATTTAATATCACCGCGATAAAGCGTTTCCGTTATTTATAACTGGCCGACGTGAAACTCTCCGACGACGACAAATTATATTTCATTAGGCGCGCACGGATAGTTTGAATGAGAACGGAGAGTCTCGTGAATAAAACGGCCGCTTGTAACCGACTCGTCATAAATTAGCACAAATAAATTATGATGTCAGAATGAGTTTTTTTCATTTTGCTGCAGAATTTCGCGTTTCGGACGAAATTTATTGAAACATCGAGAAGTTAGTTGATGCAATAATAAAATTAGTAAAATATGACAGGAGCTACATCGAGACACACGTTCTAGTATCAATTAACACGTTTCAGTATCAACAGATGTCTTAAATTTAAAATAAATTTAAAATTTTTCAGAAATTTGTTAGCTCAGTTCGATTAGGTATATGTTATGTAAGATGTCTCTGTGCAATAATTTTTCAAATCAGCTACAGAATAAAATGAGGAAAAATGTTTGTACAATATCGACTTTTTTTGTGAAAATTACGTTACGGAGAAATATGAAAATTGAAGGACTGCTAAAACAAATAAAAGCTTTGAGCTTTCAATAACTTTTATAATACGCCCGAATTTGCACGAATTCTGCAATTCTCAATTCCGTTCATTTGCAAACGCATAGAGATTTGATGGCGACCAATGACCACCGCCATATTTTATCGATTGTTTACTATGCGAGTTTTTTCGTCACCACAAATACGGTAAAATTGCCGAGCGCATGCATATAAAGCGTAAATTGTGTCGCCGTTAATGCACCGATAAAGCTGCATCGCAGAGATGAATCGGGTTTTTTGATTAATCAAACGACGTGATCAGCCGTGCATTGCGCGTAAAAGAGCGTAAAGCAACTTTTTGATTTCACCAATTTGCGATATGATCCATCCCCTTGCGATATTCAATTTGTTTAATTAATCTCTCTCTCCGTATATTTAACGTGACTACTATTGGACATTTGATTGCAATTTGTCTTATTGCTGTATCCTTTTGCAATTAAACTTTTCAATATAGAAAAATATTAGTAGAATTAATAAAAGATAAATATACCTTGTCACATAAAAATAAGAATGTAACTTTTATATTTTTCGGAATTTAAATGAAAAATTATCGAAGTGAAAAGTAATAAAATCTAATTATTTGTTTTATTACAAACGGTGCAATTTCATTATAAAAAAATATTTTCGCAAAATAAGATATCTCTAATTTCTATTTTTTTAATGAATCGCATAAAATTGTAAAAAAAAACCATAAATGCATGGCAAATTGTAAGCTAATGGTAAGTAAAAGTTTTTACACGGATATAAGTATTTAAGTTATTACAAAAAATTCTCAGCCGCTTCTCTCCAAAACAGGCTTCTTCTTCGCTTATAACAAAGCAATATATCGGATGTCAAATAATATTTTCATCTTCGAGCGCATCTATATACTGTCTCAGCGCGCGGCGTGTCGAGAATTGAATCGCCACCGTGGAAATGTCTTTTCGCATTACTACGTATACCCCGGAAACGTCGTTTCGCCAGCGGGATTACATCCCGCGAGATGAACGGACGAGAGCGCGCCGGAGGTGAAGAGGGTCACGAGCGTCGCTTATGATACCTTATGACATCACAATGCGTCCCCCGTGCGCGCACAAATTTGTTTTGCGTTTGATGTATCGTGCAATACCGTAACGGGAATACGAATCCTTTCATCTCTCCACGGGGCGACGGCGAAATTCTCAAAGATGCCGGGGCACTTTCAGAAATGGCCGCTGTCAAAGGCTTCATTCGGCATTCGCGATTGTAGAAATCCGTCTATTTCGGCGCCGAGCGAGGGAATACGGCATTGTGTGATCCGGGCTCTTTCAAAATAGCTTCCGCGGTTGTCAAAATCTCTCACATCTCCCACGGAATTGCCTCGATCGTATCGCGGATCGTAAATACACGAATATTTCCACGCGTAATTAATTTCTCATTTGTCTCTCTCTGTCTCTCCCTCTTCTTGAAATTTTGCTTCCTAAAATATTTAATATTTGATTTCGATTCGGTAATATTAATAACTAATAAGATACACGATCATTTGTTTGTTAACGTTTTGCCATTTCCTACTCAGGCGTTACATACGCCGTTTGCATAAACGACTGAAAAACGTTTAATCGACCGCATTATTAACGTTACCGTTCCGCTTATATTCAAGAGCATTAACGTCGCCGCTATATAACCAGTTAACTACTGCTGCTATAAATCCTCCCCTTATTCACATAGGACGATCGGAAAAATCCCGCTGTCACAGCGCTGCGCCCGAGCGAATGCAATGCACACTCGAGTGTGCGGCCACGAGGTGACTGCGCCTCGTATAGAGAATTTTTTATAGCCGCTGCTCGTACTGCCTAACCGTACCTCCTGCCAACCCGCCCTGCTTGTCCCCGCTTCTCCACGAACGTTTCATAATTAATTACAGTACAGACTGCAGGAGAGGGAACAGTACGCTCTTCTTTTATCGACTTCCGTTTCGCGAGTGGCTCGTAAAAATCCGTGTGCTCAGTTTTTGCAGTGTCTCTCCTTCGTCCTCCCTCCCTCGCGCCTATGTTATTCTATATTTTTCTCCACTCCGCGCCTGTCCTTCCACTCTTCCTCCCTCTCTCTCTCTCTCTCCTCTTTCCTTCCCCTGTTTCCTCTCTCCTTCTTTCTTTCCGTCTTTCTCTCTCATTTCGAAAAATCTCAGCGACTTACTACCGTGACGAGAGACAAGCAAACAATTGCGAATGAGCTGTTAAACTTGAGAAGCGTAACGATGAAAACTCCCTCTCTCGTGTCGGGAGAAATCCGTTAGCCGGAGCATCTGGCGTCTCGCATTGCTGGAAAATCCGACGGAGACATTACCCGGCTCGTTACAGTTCTCTTAAATCAACAGTATATACCACATAAATATACACGTAAATTTATAATAATTGTAAAAATACCGAAAAAGTTTCAACAATGAAGAAAGATAAAAAATTGTTATTGTAAGTAACAAATATTAATTCTGATTATTAATTAAAATCTGTAAACTAGATAGTCGCAGCGTGTTAGTGCGGTATACATCAGATGTGTGCAGCGCGAGAAGGATCCGCGCTGGATTTGTTAAATTCACTTCGGAAGCCGTCCTCATTACGGAAACACGAGCTCCAGTAGATAACAGGACGCCCGTAACCGTACGCGCTTGCTCGCGTCGCGGTGCATACTTGCACTTTCAAATTTTTTCGAGGCGTACCGCTTTTCTATTCCGGCTGCAAATCGGTTTTTAAACCGAACGTTCCTTTAAAATTCAATTTGGCGAGTGGATTTCGCGCGCACGCTTGCTCTCAAGATGCACGGCGCTTTATGTCCTGCATTAAAAATGAGTGGCACTACTTATTTTTCTTCCCGCCGTCGTTAACCGGGAAAGTGCCTCCGCGAGAGACGGCGGTGTAGAGGAGAAAGAAGAGTGGCAGAGGGACGGACAAAGGCGGGTGATAGAGAGAAAGAGAGAGAGAGAGAGAGAGAGGGAGAGAACGAGAGAATAAGGGAATTCCCATTCGCCTAAAACAACGGGCGATTATAAAACCGCGGCCAAGACGCGGCAAAAACGTTCGGAGAAGAGGAAAAAGCTGCACGCGGCTGCAACGAAGAATAATTATGCCGTGGAAGGACGGCAACAAACGCGTGGTAAGGAGGAGGTTTCTAGTTCCGGGCATAATAAAGCGAAATGGAAATATTATTCCTCCTTTATTCCCTTTTTCTCTCTTCGTTTCTCTCATCACTTTTACAACGGATTGATGGAGCACAAACAATAATGAATAAGCGTTTGTGGAAATCACAATGTTTATATCCGATAATTCGCGGTAGAGAAATGTAAGGCAAGACGTTTCTGAAAGAATAATTAGAAAGCTCTCTCTTAAGCTCTCTTGTACGTTCTTATCCTTGGAGCGCTTTAAGTATTTATCATATCAATTAACATAATTAATACATTACACATTAATTTATTATAATTAATTGATATATTATTATGATCAATTATAATAACGTATTATAATTAATATAATTTACTTATTAATATAATATATATTTTACCGGATATATATATTATAACGGGTGTCTTAACGGGTAACTTAAATACCGACCACTAATTACATAGCGTTATTATTTGTAAAATACTGAGTCGAAAGTCCTGAACAATTTTTTTCTACAGTGCTAAATAAAGCGATCACTATCCGCAGTAGTTATTGCTTCGTTAAGCATTGTAGGCAAAAATAGTTCTTAAATAGCATTCACAAATCATACAGCACTACTAGCTCCTTATAAAAAATTGAGTCGAAAAGTCCTGAACCATTTTTCTCTACAGTACTTAATGGAGCAGTAATTACTGCAATAGTGATCGCTTTATTTAGCACTGCAGAAAAAAACTTAAGACTTTTCGACTCAGTTTTTTTTACAAGAAATAAGCTATGTAATTAGTTGGTATTTAAGTTATACTCTGTATATTATAAATATATATGTGTATATATTTTTTTTAATGTACACAGTTTTAAAAAAAAGATCATTAGTAACTTTTCCTTTACTATATAAGTAGAGCAGAAATTCCTGTCATATGTACAACATATTTGTTATTCCGTTCTATGGAATGGATATATTTTATACATGTTGTGTGTGTGTGTGTGTGTGTGTAAAAAATATTCAAATAAGGATTTAAAAAATTCTTTGTTGCATCTATACATACAGTAACATTCACAATCAGTATCGCAAGATCCAGCAAGATTCAGTATAATTGCGATGTATCCTTTACGAAATATCTTCGTGATTTTTGTCGAATAAATCCAGCGATATTTTTATATCGGGCGCGTGTTTCCAAAACAATCAGATTGGACGAACAATGTTGTTTGCCTTGGTCGATTTGCAGGCGTGTTGTGAAAATCGGGCGACCATCGGTCACAATTATGTAGACGTGTTGATACTCGAGTACGAGTTGCTGGGTGAGGCCGGCACACGCAGGTTTATCGCGATGAATCATAATGCGTCGCATGATTACAAATTACGTGACTCCCCTCGTCCTCCGCGCACTTCCATCATGTTGGCATTATTGTGGGAGTGGATATCTCGATGTGTCTAGAAACTGGATTACGACTGTACAATGTGGCGATACAAGCTACTCGTGGGGATGAAGGATTTTAACACGCACGACAATTGGACGGGGAGGTATCCAGAGTGAAATTATGTTCTCTTCAGTGGTAACTACATCTCGAAAGGTATTAAATCTAGGAAGCAGCAATTAAAAATTATATTAATTGGATAATTCTCTTATTAAAAAGAGAAAAAGTTAAATAAACCTTGTATCAATTCTAAGAAATAGTTTTCTAAATTCTTCAAAAAAAGACGTAATATTGCGACATATCACACAATTTAAGCACAGCACTTTAACTTAGCCTAATTAATCTAATAACGAATGTAAAAATTTATAACATTAAGCTATTATAAATACATAAAATAAAATTAAAAATATATTCTTTGTTATCATCATATTATACTTATTTTACGTAAAAGAAATTTATTGTTACAGTTTATTGTAATATATCAAACGGTATCGTAGCATCACGACGCCAAGTACATAAAAACAGATCACGTGACAGATCACTGTATGAACATCGAGGTGCTTATATTGAGTTTATCTAGCATTCTTCATGTCAAATGAGCCTTCGAGTAAAATATCTCAGAAACTAAATCTGCATTTAAAAATCTACGGGCACTTTTATTGCATATAATAATCTTTTGACTTGATTAAATGCAACCCTGGCACGCCAAGTTTTTATATGCTTTACTTTGACTTTAAGTCTGTTTTATACTGTTTAAAATTTGCGCAAAATCACAATAAAGTCACAGAAAAAGAAAATGAAACTGTATTAAACGTATGGTATTTTTAAAACATTTTTAAATCTAGATTTATTTCAATAATACTCGGTTAATTAATTAGAGCAATTTTATATCTATATTTAGCAGTTAATTTTTTACTTAACAAATGCATACAATTTTAAAAGTTTTTTATGAACTTAGCATTTTTAACCTTTGTAAAACATTTTATTATATATAATATCTGTAAACATACACATACACACATACAATATTACTATATATATAATATATATATATATATGTATATATATATTTTTTTTTTAATCGTTTAATTTTATATTTAATTTAAATATTTTATTAATTCCAAAAATGTTTCTTTCTAATATTATGAAATCAAAGCAGAAATATGCTTATTAATTGTAATATACAGTTAAGTATATGTTATATACAGTTAGTTGTTAATATTCAGTTAGTATACATTAAATATAATACACAGTTTCATCAATAAATTTTAGCATTTATAAATTACTTGTA